CTTGAAATATTTCACTCCACTCTTACTGCGTGCATGGTTTCTGAGGAGAATTCCAGTGTAACTCTTACACTTGTTTCTTTACAGGTAAGATTTTTTTTCCCTTCTGGCTTCTTTTGAAATTTTCTCTTTGTCTTTGATTTTCTGCAGTTTGAATAGGATATGCCTAGTGCAGTTTTTGTTTGTTCGTTTTGGGGTTTTTTTTTGTTTGTTTTTTGCATTTACCCTGGTTGGTGTTCTTGAGATACCTGGATCTGTGATTTGGTGTCTCATTTATTTTGGAATAGTCTCAGACATTCAAACTTCAAATATTTTTTCTGTTCGTTTTTCCCTTTCTTCTCCTTCCAGTATTCCCATTATGTATATGTTACACCTTTTGTCTCCCAGTTCTTGGATATACTATCACATTTTCCATTCTTTTTTCTTTTTGCTTTTTAGTTTGTGAGGTTCCTACTGAGATTTCCTGGCCCTGTCCTGTCTACTGATGTGCAGATCAAAGGCATTCTTCATTTCTGTTACAGTGCTTTTGGTTTCTAGCATTTCTTTTGATTCTTCCTTAGAGTTTCCATCTCTCTGCTTATATGACCTACTTGTCCTTGCATGCTGTCCACTGTTTCCATTAAAGCTCTTAGCATATTAATCATACTTAGTTTAAATTCCTGATCTGATAGTTTCCACATCTCTGTCATATTTAAGTCTGGTTCTCATGCTAGGTTTGTCTCTTCAGACTGTCTTTTTGCTTTTTGGCCTGTCTTGTAATTTTTCATGGAAAGTTGGACATGATGTATAAGGTAAGAGGATTTGAAGTACAGGCCTTAGTGGGAGGTTTTGTGCTTGTCTGTCTAGAGTTAGGCTGTGCTCCCTGTTTGCAGTAGCTCTGGATGTTTCTTGCCAGTCAATCTCCCCAGCCCTTGAGCAACCACGGTTCTGATTTTATCACCATAGATTAGTTTTGCTATCCTTGAACTTCATATAAAAAGAATCATACAGTATTTACTCTTTTATGTCTGAATACTTTTGTTAACATAATGTTTTTGAGATTCATCTATTTTGTAGTGTTTATTGCTTTTTATTGCTAAACAATCAATATTCCATTGAATGAATATACCATCATTTGTCTATTCAGTCTCTTGTTGATGGACTATATATGTGGTTTCTTCTTCTTCTTCTTCTTCTTTTTTTTTTTTTTGGCTGCCATGAATAACACTGCCAGGGCTGGGTTCGCTGGAAAACAAACTCTAAATTGAAGATTTGTCTACACACAGGTTTCAGCAGGTGCTGGTGGGATCACTACTTGTGGGGGAATGACGGAGGCGGGATCAGGTGGCCTTCAGAATTGCCCTCTGAATTAGTTCTATTGCTGCAGAACAAATCACCCCAAAACTCAGTGGCTTAAAACAACCATGACCATTTATTGTCTTTCATGGTTTTTCTGTGTCCAGAATTTGGAAGCAGCATGCCTGGGTATTTCTGGATTCGGATCTCTCATGAAGTTGCCCTCAGGTGGTGGTTGGAGCTGGGGTTGTCTTGAAGGCTCCTTCACTCATGCATGGTGCCTGGGGTGGGAAGATTCAAAAAGTTGGAACAGCTGAAGTGCCTCAGGCTTCTCGCTCTATCTCTGTAGTTTCTCTCTTTGATATCTCCAGCATGCAGGCTTCAGGGTAGCCAGGTTTCTTCAGTATCACCTGTAGGCACAGTCTCCCAAGGCGTACTTCCTGAGTGAAAGAGAGCTAGATGGAAGCCAAATCATTTTTTATGATCTAGCCTGGAAGTCATGTAACATCATTTCTCCCACTCTGTCAGTCGAGGCAGGCACAAAAGCCCACTTGATTCGAGCAGAGGGAACATAAACCCCACCTCTCTGTGGAAAGGTTTCATCATCGTATTATAAGAAGTGTAAGGGAGATGGGATACAAAGTGCAGCTCTCTTTGGAAAATACACTCTTTGAGGTATTGAGGCTGGGAGATGAGCCTTTATTCCCCAGCATTAACCAGCCATGGCCTGTGTCATGAGGATCTTGGATGAGCTGACTTTCTTTAGTTGAGGGCAATTTCTAGAAAAGGACTCAGCTAAATGTTCTCAGTTGCCAACATTCCCAAAAGCTGGAGGAATGAGTGCTTAGTCCTAAAGGGGAGAGTCCAGGTGGCATACAATAGCATCCCCTGCAGGTGCTAGAAATGTTCTTGTACACGTCTCTTTGTGGACATATATTTCCATGTATTTTGCATATCTATTCTAGGAGTGGAATTTCTGTGTATCCCGTGGGCAGAGTGCCAGAGTCATTAAAAGGCTCAATGGGGTGGTGGGAACAAATGAGAGTGGGCCAGTTCTCTGCAGGGATTAGAAGGGTCTTCAGGAAGGTGGGTGTTTTCCAGGAACAAGGCCTTCTGGGCAGAGGGTATGAAATGGGTGCAGAGGTGGGAGATACACAGGATCTTGGGATGAATTTTTCTCAATAATGAGGTCTTGCATGTAAATTTTGTTAAATTTATTTCTAAAAATTTTTATGATTCTTACTCTAATTAAAATGGAAATGATTTTATGATTTTATTTTCCAATTATGTGCTGCTAATATGTGAAAATAAATTTGATTTTGTGTATCTATTTTGTATCATGCAACCTTGCTAATTCACTTATTAATTCTAGTAGCTTTTTTTGAGACTAAGATTTTCATTGTACTTGATGATGTCATCTGCAACAAAAGATAGTTCTAGTTCTTCCTTTCTTAACTTTATGCTTTTTATTTCTTTTCTTGCCTGTAGCACTGGCTAGCATCTTCAGTACAATGTTGAATAAAAGTGGTTACAGCAATTATATTAAACTCTTTTCTGTCAATATTAGGGGGGAAAGCATTCAATATTACACTATTAAGTATGAAGTTAGTGGTAGGTTCTTCATAGATGATTTTTATCAGTTTGAGGAAGTTCCCTTTTATTTCTTGTTTGCTGAGAGTTGAAAAAAATACATCAGATACATTTTTCCCCACTGCACTTATTGAAATGATCCTATGGTCTTCCCCCTTTATTCTGTCATATGGTGAATTAAATTAATTGATTTTGTATTGTTAAACCAATTTTGCACTCCTGGGGTAAATCTCACTTGGTCATGATGTATTGTCAGTTTTATATATTGCTGAATTTGATTTGCTGCTACTTTTAAAGGATTTTTGCATCTGTGAACACAAGGTTTACTAGCCTGTAATTTTCTTTCCTTATTATGTTTTTGTCTGATTTTGGTATCAGGGTTATCCTGGCATTATGAAATGAAATGATTTGGGAAGTTTCTCCCTTCCTCTGTTTTCTGAAGGAGTTTATTTAAGATTGGTATTATTTCTTCCCTGATTCACCAGTAAAACTGTCAGGGCTGGTAGCTGGTTGCTTTCAGGATTTTCTTCTTGTCGTTGAGTTTCAGCGGTCTGATCATGATGTGCCTAAGCGTGGTTTTCCTTGTATTTATTTTGCTTTTGCTTTACTGAGCTTCTCGGATCTACAGGTTAAAGTTCTGAACCAAATTTGAGAAAATTTAACCATTATTTCTTGAGATATTTATCTGCCTTCTTCCTTCTCTTCTCCCTTTCTGGGCCTCCACTTGCATATCTATTAGACTGCTTGATATTATCCCATACGTGCCTGAAGCTCTGTTTATTTTTTTAAATCTTTTTTTCTCCCCAGTGTTGAGGGGAGTTTACACACAGACTTTGCGCCTCCCTACTATATGGCTCCCTCCATTCTGGGATATCTCCCTTCAATTTCTGGGTGTTATGGTAGCTCCAAACAGTTTCCTCTCATACCTTAATCCATTAAGACTGGCTTTCTGCTGGAATGTCAGCCATTCCTGCTATGTAGACTGGGTATTGCCCTTAGTGGAAAGACTATATAAACTTGGAATAGCCCTTTCTGTTTCTGTCTGTTTTTCATTGCTGTCCAATGTCCTCAAGTAGTTGTTTTTTTTTTCTTTTGTCCAAAGTTTAAAATTGTCATCTCTGGGAGGGTTAATATGGTACAATCTGCTCCATTGTTATTGGAACTGGAACCCTGCCTCCGGTATTCTTAAGCTTAGTTAATTTGTTCACCATCCACCCTGTCTTCCATTTTACAGACCCCAGTGTCCCCAGTTCAAAATAACAGTCACTAGATCCTAACAATCCTGTCTCAGGTGAGCTTCCTGAATCTACTGACACCTAACTTCCTTAGAGACACTGCTTTAGATCAGGTCCTCATTTAACTGGTCTTCCTTGCCTCCTAGCCTCTGTCACTTTCCATATAGCTTGAGGTATCTTCCTAAGAAACATTCCTTATTACGTTACTCCCTTGTTTTAAGACCTCTCTGGGCTCCTGTAGGATTAAGTCCCCTTGGCTTGATCTATTAAGCCCCTCACAGTCCAGTCTATGTCCTGCTGTTGCTCCACACAGAACCAATGCTTCTCATATGTTAAACTTTTCTCTGTTCCTCAGAATTTCATCTTTTTGTGATTTTGCACTTTGTATCCTGCCAACTTGGGGCCATCGATTTTCATCTGACTTTTCTAGATTTCGTCTTAAAAGCTGATTCAAATACCACCTCTTCTGAAAAGTCTTCCCTGGATGGGTTACCTCTGTCCTCAACATCTGTTTTCTGTGTTCTTATAGCATTTATAAATCTGCATGTCAACTTGGTCGGTCTGCCTATCATCCATCTATCTATCTAGCTATCTATCTAGCTATCTATCTATCATCTATCTAGCTATTTAATCATCCATATAATCTCCTGTTTCCCTCAGTAGATTCTAACCTCTTTGGTCAAGGTATTGTGTATTTCAAAAATGTTTTTTTGATCTCTATAACATCCAGTAAGCATTGTAGACCCTGTGTAGATCCTCAGTGTATATTTTCGTTGATGATGATATTACAAAGAATATTTCTCAGCAATGGTACTCAAAGTAATGGTTTACATCCAGAATTAAAGGCCACAGATCCCAAAGGAGAAACTAATCAGCCAGTCCGTATACTATTCTGTTATTTAGGAACATATACCTCGTCATCAAGCACCCCTATAGAATTCTGCAGGAATGGTGGAACCTGGGAAAATGGCAGATGCATTTGTCCAGAAGAGTGGAAAGGACTGAGATGTACAATCGGTAAGTTACTTGGGATATACTCAAGTGTGAGGTTTAGGTGACTCTCATGTTAATAAAGACAGCAGCAAAGCTTCTCGAAGCTTCTGTTAATGATTATAGTAACAATGAGCATAATCATGGTGGCTTCAAGATGTGTTTATTAGCTCAATAATAAAAGCTGAGTTTTCTTCTTGGGCCATTTACCTGTATGTTCAGTACACTTTGTTTCCCAACTATCAAGTTTCTCTGTAAACTCACAGTTTCTTTTCCTTCTGGCTGCAGTGTCTACCACAGGACAACAGGTGATATGGTTTTCTCAGGTCCTTTTAATTGGTCATATGCCATATTACCCCATTTCAAATATCACAATTCTAACATATTTTTTTTTGAAATCAAGGTGCATCTTCCTAGCCAAGTATATACTTAGATGAAGTTTTTGTCTTTTCTTCCTTTCTCTTGAAGAGATGTTATTAAATTAGTGGTTTGGCTTCAATCAGTGGTATCTCAGAATCAAAGTTCAAAGCCACTTCTTGATCTGCAGTGTGCTTCCCAACTTCATGCTACCTGCTTAGGATCCAGAGACCTAAAAGCTCACTCCTATCATTTCCTAAACTCCTACCAGCCAGGATATCCCACACACCCATGACATCGGCCTTTTTGCCTTGACCCACATCCTTATGATGCCCTTTGCCACTGTAAGCTCTATACCTTTAATTTTCAAGATTTCAACTAATTCAACATACTATCCTTTCTGATATGTTAGTGATCACATCCCACTTCTACCAAGTTATATATTGTGCACATTTTATTTGGAACCTGTTATCTAACATATTAGTTATTCCAATGGTAGTAACTTCACCAGATAAGAAAGTATGAAGTTCCTGGCAGGCCAGTGAGTCCTGTAAGTCTTCTATTACTCTTCAAATTACACTGGACAGGTTTTGTACTTTGACTTTTATCTGGTTTGAAATTTGAAAAAAAATATAATTTATGATAAAAAATATTTTTTCTTTCCTTTATAGCTAATTTCTGTGAAAATAGTACCTATGGGAGTTTTACTTTTCCCAGAATTTCAGTGGGAAGATACGGAGCTTCCTTGCAAACATGTGATGAGAACACTCTAAATGGTATGTGTTTCTCCAAACACCTCCTCTGTGTAGGCATACGAATTGCTATGCTGGGTCAAACCTATCACCCCTCCAACTAGTATTAGATCCCTAGAAGAGGTATGAATGAGGGTTTTGTGGAACCCTTACGATTCTGATGTTCAAAATTTGGGGTGCTACTTCACATAATTCTACTTTTCCTGAAAACCTTAATACGGATCAATTGTAAATTCCTTTTAATACTTCTTCAACTGGTTTATTTTTCCAGCTTACTCTATCTCGTGGAGTTCGATCAGGTTAACATCTGCTCTTTGAGTTATATAATTTGTCTCAACTTAAAAAGTAGCTAGACTATAGACTTACACCGTATCTACTTCAGACTTCATCTTTCTAGGTGGAGAGGCACAGGTAAGTCTATCCACAGCTGGACGTCCTTCGTCTCCTTGGTTATTTTTGTTATCCATCTTGGAATATTCTCTAGCTTCATCACACCCTTCTTGAAGCATGACAACCTTGCTTGCATAGAGACATTCTAAGAATAAAGGAGCAAATAGTATTTTCTATTTCTGATGTGCTCCCTGATGATATCCAAGATGTCGATGATGTCTTTGTGTTATTTGTCCGTAGTTGTCGGAAAGCAGGTCTTCCTCACAGACTTTAAAGGAAGGAAATTGTCAACTGGTCTTTTGGATTCCAGATTTAAATATCAAGACAAGTGGTATCTGCCTAAAATATTCTTGTAGTAACTGTCTGATTCACTTTGCCATTCCTGTGCATCAAACCACCCCAAACTTAGTGGCTTAAAACAATAACGATTTAGATTTCTCTCAGTTCTGTGGGTTGACCTGTGGCAGCTGGACTTTGTTGGAAGGTCCAAGATGACTTCACTCCCATGGGGCATTGGTGCTAGCTGTTGGCTGAAGGGCCTCACTTCTGCTCCACGTGGCCTTTCATCCTCCAGTAGATTAGACCTGCTTCCTTATATGACAGTCTCAAGACAGCGTTCCAGGAGGGCAAAGGCTGAAACTTCAAGGCTTCTTGAGGCCTAGGTTCTGGAACTCACACAATGTCATTTCTACCACATTCTGTTGGTCAAAGCAAGTTACAAGGCCAGACTAGATTCAGGAAATTGAGGAATAGACTCCACTTCTTGATGGGCAGAGCAGCAAAACCACATTGCGAAGGGGCCTGTGTGCAGGAGCAGGAGGTTGCTGTGTGGGCGTCTTTGTGAACACTGTCTTTTTTTTTTTTCTTTTTATGAAAGCGGGCAATCCAAGGGCAACCCGGCTGTGCAATCTTACTGAAGATGGAGAGATAGAATTACAAAATGTGAAAATAGGAAATTGCAACGAAAATCTGGAAGCCCTGGAAAAGCAGGTATGCTGTGTGATTTAGCTGGAAAAAGTTCAGACTCTGTGTGAAGTCTGTTCTTCAGACACCTGATGGTCAAATCAATGCTTTTTAAAACTCTCAAATTAGAAATAACAAAAAATAGTGACTAAAACCATTCTTATTTTTTTAAGTTGACATCTGTTTGTGAAAAAGGACAGTTGGACGTGTTGGTTTGGCAAATTTCAGTGGATGATAATCTATAGCACATTTTATTTTTATTTTTGTTTTTTTAGATTTTATTTATTTATTTATTTCCCCCCCAAAACCCCAGTAGATAGTTGTATGTCATAGCTGCACATCCTTCCAGTTGCTGTATGTGGGACACGGCCTCAGCATGGCCAGAGAAGCGGTGCGTCGGTGAGTGTCCCGGATCCGAACCCGGGCCGCCAGCATCGGAGCGCACGCACTTAACCGCTAAGCCATGGAGCCGGCCCTATAGCACATTTTAAATGGCCTCATCCTTTTAGACCAGTGAAGTTTTGAGTGAAAATAGATCCCTGACATTTGAGACCAAAAAGAAGGTAATTTGATGGTCTACTGTATCAGAATAAAGAGAAAAAACTATAACCAAAGACCTTTTGAAACAGGAAATTCCAGAACCTGATGCTGGTCTCAGGGCTGTAGCCATGAGCAGGTGAAATGGGAAGTAAATCTGCCTAGATACCTTTTCATGCAGATTAAATTATTTTGACTAGGGATATATCCAAATGCAAATGCACGGAATTGCTAATACCTGGGGCCAAGCATGGGGAGGAAGAGGAAACTTATTTTTACGTGGTCTTTCTAGGTACTGGACTTGTTGCATATGTTATCTCATTTAATCCTTATAGAACCTCTGTGACTTAGATATTATTCCCACATTATACATAATTATAGCTAATAACACTTACTAATTATTGAGCACTTACTGCATGCCAAATACTGTGCTGAACACTTTACATACATTATTTTACCATATTTAATTCTTATAACAGCTATATAGATAGGTATTAATGTACCCATTTTATAGGTGAAGAAACTGTGGCTCTGAGAGGTCCAGTGTTTTGCCCAGTGAATCACAGCCAAAAAGTGTTGGAGCTGCTCTTGATTTTAAAGCCCTCACTGTACCAGTCTGGCTCCCTAATCATAGACGGGCACAGGGTGGGGTGGGGATGGAGATGGTAGTGGGGTTTGGAGGTGGCTGCGACCACATTGGTTGTGCCAACCACACAGACTGCAGGAAAGATTTCATGTTCTGGAGTCTGACAAGCCAGTGTTTCACTCTCAGCTCTGCCACTTACAAGCTGCCTGAACTTGGACTGAGCTCCTTAACCTCCCCAAGGATTTAAATAGAGATGAGGATGCTCAACTCACAATGTTGTTTTGCATATTAAATGTGATAACACCTGTAAAACCTCTAGCACAGTGCCTGCACATAGCAGGGCCTGGCTATTGAACAAGAACATTGTTTCTGTGTACTGATGGATATTATTTCCCACTCTCCCCTAAGCTTGAAGAGCCTGTGACCTTGGTTTGATTTTTGAAATGATGCTGCCATCTAGCGAAAACTAAGCCACACACACACACACACACGCACACACACGCACACACACACACACACACTGACACCCGGCTCCACTAAGGACAATATGGATTAACATGCTGTAGCCACACAACACAGAGCCTGGGGCCCAGGTGGTCCCTGGAGAGGTTGTCTAGGTCAGTGCTTCCCAAACTACCTATGCTTAAACTCCAGTTTTTAGAATTTCTAACCCATTGCAGAACAATAATTTTGTAAAATACAATAAAAATGAATTATTAGAAAAATGAAATGAAAAAAGATATATAAAATACGAATCTATTTTTTTGAATTGTTAGATTCAACAGCATAGAATTGTTCTGTAAGTTTCTGCCCATGTGCTCTCAGTTTCTGTGCTCATCTTCCAACGGACCCTGTGGCAAATAGTGAGCCAACATTGGTCCCTGGATCACACTTTGAGCAGCATGATCTAGCTAAAGCAGCCTGTTGTGGTTAATTAATCCTGGAAGATAGGAAAGACTTGGAAACCCACTGGCCTGCGTGGGCTTTGTCCTGTACACAAGGAAAGAAATAAACATGAAGAATCAAGGGGATATGATGTTCAGGAGACTAAGGCTCAACTAAATTCCAGCTTATTCACCTGCAGTTGCCTGCAGTGTTTAGATATTGTTGTATAAAGTTAAGGGTTTTTTTTTTTTTAACAGATAAGCAATACCTCAATACAGTTGTTGAATATTTCTACTGAAGCCCAGATTTTAACTTGTGATGCCAGTAAATTAACTCCTGAGAACATCACTTCTGCTACTAGAGTGGTGGGACAGATCTTGAACACATCCAGGAGTGATTCATCTGAGGTAAAACTCACATGGTTTTAAAAAAGGTGAGGGGAAGAAAGAAAGAGAGACATCCTGAACTCCACTCCTTCTCCGTGGTATTCCGGGGTGTGGCTTACGTTGCTTGAAATCATTTGCAGAGCACTCTTTCTAAGAGATGCTCAAAGAAATAAACAAGGTCTTCTTGTCCAAATCTTCTCTTTTGAGATAGGCACAATGATCATTATGTTAAATCTTCTGGAAAGTCCTGGAACAGACGTGTCTATTTCAGTTTATTAATACGTTTACCAACTGCATTCGATCTCAGCATCCCTTATTCACTTCCAAGTAACTTGTGTTACAAGAACTCACTTTGGAGCGTGCTGTTTTAAACTGTGATCACTTTCTGCTAAGCATACTTGCATTTTGGTTTTGGCTTCCCAAAAACTTTAACCCTAGTTTACACATCTAATATCACAACCTGCTAAACTCTGGTACCTGAAAAAAAGAACTATAAACAACATTTACCAATTGGTACAGCTTGGGTCCTGGTCAAGCAGGGCTATAAACCAATATGGCCTGACCCAGGGTGTACCTGTTGAATATCAGCATGGCCTGAAAATATCTACCCCTTTCTTCCATTTCCTTTAAATGTCTTATTTCAAAAAATTATTTTATGTTTCTCTAGGTCCTTTGGAAAATAAGTGGGATTAAAATCACAAGTTAATAAAAATGGAGTTTAAAGAGAAAAATAATGACCATCAAATGTAGAATTTATGGAAGGATTAGCCAATAAAGACAGAAGGGTATCAATAGCCCCAAAGAGGGCAGTTAAACAGTAATCAAATGCCAAGAGATCCTCTCTGATGTACTTCTTGAGTTTTAAATTATATTATAATTCTTATATATTATATATAATATATATAATATATAATTCTTATGTATCATAAGAAAACTAGAAATAATTTTACTAAGTATAATAGTTATACTAAGTATAACTAATAAATTCTACTAGGTATTGTGGGCTGTAATGTTTTGACAGTCAGAGCCCTGCACTCTTATTTTGTTTCTGTTTTTGCATCCAAGTATCTGCTTTTGTATTCTTGGGGATGGGGGGTGGAGTTTCTGTGAAAGATCTTGCTATGAGATCAAATTCAGAGACCTACACCTCCTCATTGACTACCTCCATTTATATTTTCACTGTGCCTTATCTTTATTCTCTCTGCATCTTATGTAGATCAAAAACTAAGCCTCTAATTTTGAAAAATACTTGCCTCTAGTTTACCATACCAATGGTACCACTTGATAGCATAATAATTCATGATAATGATGGTGATGATGATGTGTGGTATGTGTCCTCTATGACGATGGTGCCTTCTTCCTGGCAGGCACGACAAGTTGCTGTAACAACAGTGAGCCAACTTCTAGATGCCAGTGAAGATGTTTTTCAAAGAGCTGCTGCTGATAATGATGATACCTTTGCAACGTAAGCACAATTCCAATTTGGAAACAAATCTGACAAAGTGCTATTTACTTTCCTAGATTAAAGCGTTAGCAGAGCTGTCTTTATTTCCCTCATGGGTGCACTCAACTGGCTGATTCCTCTGGAATGCTTCCCACCTGATCTTCAGTTACGAGGTGGACTGGTGTATGTTAACTCCTGCTTCCAGGCGGGGCCATGGCCTGGGAGATGGAGATGGAATGGGTTTAGATTAAAACTTGCTTTCCCAGATTTAGCTTGACGTGCCCAAGGGCAACCTGCATGCACAGCAGGAGCTTTTCCGACTCCTTCCTCAATGCTCAGAGCTGCAAATGATGGCAGAACTCTGCAGGACACATTGCCAGCCCCTCAGCCACAACTCAGCTCTTGCCAAGATCCTGGTGTATTTTGATTAAGCTTTCTTTAGCTTTCCCAAGGCTACGTAACAGAAAAAAAAAAAAAAAAAGGATCCACTCTACCTGCGTTCTCTTTCCTTGACCGCCATGTTCTGGATTACTTTTGGTTATATATTTATACTAAAACTCATGTACTTTATTCATAGAGGTCCCTCACTAGGATTCACTGTATTTATATACCATTTTCTTAACTCTTTGAAAATTTAAGTAAATATGCACGCTCATTATAGAAAAATAAGAAAATATAGATGAGCAAAATTAAACAAAAAATCATTCTACCTTTGTTAACCTGTTGGTATATATTCTTCCAGATTTTTTTTTCTGTTTGCATTTGTGTATGTGTGTGTGTATAATATTACATACTCTATTGATTTATCACTTGTTTTTGTCACTTAATAATACCCTATACACATTGTTTTTATATAAACATCTATACATCTACATCATAAATTTTAGATCACTGCATAATATGAGTTAATTTCTATTTGAGCAATTATCTGCTGCTAGACATTTAGATTGCTTCAAGTCTTTTAATATTTTGCGCAATCAGCATTCCTGTACATAATCTTTGTTTGCATGACCCATTATTTCCTTAGGAGAAACTCCTAGAAGTAGTTCTCAGTTTTCTAATTATTACAACCAGTCTCTATTTAGTGTTGAGTCCTCAAAGTGGAAAAAGCACAAAAACATGAAAGAGAGAGAACATTCAAAAGACTAGAATTCTGAGAGACAGTGGTAGAGGCTGTGTGAACAACTGAACTGGTGTATTTTAAGATTTTGAATTTCAGTAGGAGTCTGGGCCCTTCTCCCTGGCAGTGTGGACACTCCCATTTTTCTTGAAGTTGGAGAAGGAAGTGGCCGTGGAGTCCAAGAGCCTATGTTCAGTGAAAATGAGATGAGAGCCAGAGTGGGCTCCCTTCAGAGCCGAAGCTCTGTGTCTGCAGTCTTGTTGGATGGAAAGGAGAGGCGTGGATGCCGTTGATGAGAAGGCAGAGGAAAGAGAAGTTGTGGGGTCCGGCTGAGAAAGTCACAGACTATGTGGCAGATGAGAATGCTGTCATAACAATAAACAGTTATGAATTTTACTGGCTTAAGACATGGAGGAAAAAATTCTGTGTGACTTATGTGTACTATCCAAATGGCTTCAAGGGAAGAGATAGAGGATAAATACAATTTTAAAATATAGGACACACTAAAATGTGAAATGGGATAGCCACACTCAATCCCTCCTTCCTCCCACTCCGAATTTCTAGTCTCCTTACTTTTCTACTCATGTCCCATCCGTTTGCCCTCTCACTTCTGATCTTTTGCATTAACCCTTGTGGACTCAGGTCCCTCATTCCCTTAGAGGAGGCTTTCGTCTGCCTCCGGCCCGGAGATCAGGTTACCAACCCCTTCCCTCTCCTCGGGAGCATACTCTGGATGAGCTGCCAACAGAGGCCATCTCTCACTCTCCTCTCTCCCCAGGGAAGGAAATTAATTGCTGCTCAGGGCAACTCTTGCTTTCCGGGTCCAGGGTCTGCGGAGGGCACCGGGCCTTGGTCGTCCATCTCACTCTGTCTCCTCTCTGCTTTCATTCAGTTTCCTCTCTGCATCCCCAAGCTACCGAACTCCCTTTCCACGCCTCTAGGGAGAAGTGGACAGGGTAACAGTGAATCAGAGGAGAGTGACAGGGGAAAGAACCCAGCCCAGCTTCAGCCATCCCGAGAAGTTGTCACGGGAAGTTCTCCAGCGTCCATCCGTGCATTCTCGTTCTCGAAGTTGGCAGGAGGCGGGATGTTGAGGTGGGCGGAGCTCCGGAGCGGGGCGGGGCCTCTGCCGGTGAGGGCGTCCTACTATGATCATGCACCTAACGCCTCAGGCCTCCACGTTGAACGCTTGCTGTGAGGACTGATCCGTAACCTTGAAGCTTTGCTGCCACATTCGAGCTCATAACTGTCCTTGTTCGTCTGACTTCAGGAATGTAGAACTGCTTTCCTAACGATGACCACCTTGTACATCTACGTTTCACACTTCTGTTTGTGTTTCTGTTCCAGCCAGCCTTCTTTGGTTACATACGAGATAAGTTATCTCGACCAAATGGAAATTTATTGGAAAGAGGCGTATGGACTCTCATGGGAACCTAAGAACAGCATTATAATACAGCTGGGTTCCGTGGGCCCTGGAACTGGGGGATGGCAAGGCATCCAAGGCGGCTTTGAAGGGCTCCACGGAGGAGTTTGTGGGCCTTCCCTCTGGGATAATATAATGGTTGTGGCCACAGCCTTTGGAGTCAGACAGTCCTGGGTTCAAATCCTAGTGTTGTTGTTTAGTAGCTACATGATTTTGGCCAAATTACTTCATATCTCTTTTAAGAGCCTCAGATTCTTCAATGTCATATGGGAGTAATTTTGGGACTCACTTCAGTAGGATTCTTGTGAGGCTCAAATGAGATGGTGTGTGTAAGTCACTAGCATGATACCTGACTTACACATAGTAGGTCTTGAAAAAAAAGGTTAGCTGTTGTCTTCGTAATTAGCATGACTCAAGAAATATCTTTACTTCTCATTTTTACTTCTGGTTTCTGCTCTCTCATAATTTAACCCAGTTTATGATGTTGGGGAAATAGAATTAAAAACAAAATCTTCTCCTATCCCAAAAATGTTCTCCATGAATGTAGCAGAGACAGAAAACACTTTTATTACTGAGCGAGCATTAAACCAGAATGTGACTCACACCACAGGCAAACCCCTAAGAGAGTGTGGAGACAGAGAGGAATTTCACCTCTTCGTACAGACAAGCAGCTAGAACCCATTACATACATGTTTTCAGATAAATAATAACTAGTCCTTGATTAAGAGAACTTGACAGCACTGTTTGTCAGGTTCATCCTAAGTTTACCTGGTAAATGAGGTGACCATTTGTGTTAGCTAATTGACTTTGTCCAGAAGAAAAACAAACTTCTCATATCTTTATGACAGGAGGTAGTTTTGCAACTTGGAGCAAGGTGCCCACCCACTGTTTTTAGGCTCCTACCCTCCCAGGGAAACTGGGAGATAGGGGCGCTATCTCCCTTGATGTTTACATTTCAAAGAAATGCCTCCTGTGTCCTTGAGAAAGACATTCCTAGGTCATAAAACTGACAAAATGCCAATCTAGTCTTCAGAAAGATTTATTTACTTTTCAGAGAGAGAAGAAAATATTTAACAGTTTTCTAAAGTAAATGCCCAAAGAAAAAGGAGGGGAGAGAAATTTCTTCCCTTATTTTCAACAGGAAGAATTAGGCCTCTTATTTTTAATTTGTATTTGTCCTTGCCATGACATATGACCTCTCTGGTCCCCTCTGAACCATGACGTTCCTTGATAACTGCTGCATTAAATGGAAAATTCCCAAGTGAAGGAATCTGATTGCTTCTTCTAGTCATTTGTACCAGGTTGATGGCCAGCCTCCAGACTGGGTGCTCTGAGGCAGGCAGCCATCTCTCATCCATCAGTTATGGCAAGAGGAGGGAAGAGTTATATAGAAGAAAAAATGGCCTTAGAAGTGGCTGTGGGTAGAGCTACCCTTTGAAAGTGGTTGTGAACCTGGCAAACACCCCCATGTATCTAGCACATCCTTCCCTTTAGTCTTTACAAGCCCAAAGGAGCTCCTCTTAGCATCCCCAGTGTCTCACAGGGCACTGACCCCTTAGTAGGTGCTCAACAGATATTGTTGGTTGAGTGAACGCATGAGTTATGTTCTCGGCAGACTGGAGTTTTGTTAGGTATTCCTCCTGTTGAAAGCAGCTCTGGAGTATGATTGTTATTCATGAAGTGGGAAATACATAGTGTGAATTGCCGAAAATTACAGAAAATGGTGTTATGAAAAGAAAACTTTTGACACAGAGAAGCCAACTTGAACATTTCCATATGAATGATTATCACAAACTCTTTATAAAGCAATCTTTAATTGCTTAAAAATTTATCTTTCTTTTCTATCTCACTTGGGGAAGGAAAAAGATATTTTTGTGGCAGAAATAAAAATTTAGAATACAGAAAAATTATATTTTAATGAAATTATTTCATTTCTGGGGAAACTAGATTGAACCAGTTATCTTAGATAAAGGGATTTTGTTTTGTCAAGTACGGAATTAGTGCAAATATTTCTTATAGGAAACAAGAAAAAGAAAAGGTCTTACGAACTTTTCTTTGGAGAACACTAAATTGACAGGTTCCTCCTGCTCCCTCCCACCTTCCATCTGTCTATCTTTGAACTTATGCAAAGTAGAAAAGAACATTGTGAAAAGCTGCAGTGTTTAGTTCATACCTGACGCAATGAGCTCAGAGCTCTGCTCTTCCAGAATTCCATGTGGACGGTGGCCTCAGGAATCAACTTACAAGAGATGCTTCCAGGGGGTTTGGGTGAGAGGAGGGAGTCGAATAAGTGGAAATTGATTTTCACCACTGGAAAAACAAGTGCATGCCTGGCCAATGGTGGATGGCAACACCATCCTTCTATGTGAAGACCAGCATAATAAAGATGATTTCTATTGGGAAATCTGTGATTCTTGAGTTCCAGCTTTCTGGCATCTATATTCAAGGTTCTTTTCAGTGGGAACAGTCGACCAGAACTTTTTTTTAAGCCCTTTCTTTTAAGTACTTTTTTTTGAGGAAGATTGGCCCTGCGCTAACATCTGTTGCCAATCATCCTCTTTTTCCTTTTTTTTCCCCAAAGCCCCAGTACATAGTTGTGTATCATAGTTGTAGAGTTGTAGCTCTTCTATATGGGATGCCGCCTCAGCATGGCTTGATGAATAGTGAGTAGGTCCGTGCCCAGGATCCGAACCGAGAACCCTGGGCCACCGAAGCAGAATTTGCGAGCTTAACTGCTAAGCCACCGGGCTGGCCCCCGCCAGAACTTTAAAAAAAAAAGCATATGTAACAAAGCAAGACTCTGGTAAAGAAAATCAATCAGTTTTTAGGTTACTGTGTCAATGTTGTTGTGATTGCATGAGTTCTGTTCATGCCTTTCTGTTGGAATGTGGGGGAAAACACACACCCCTGGTTTTGTGATGAATCTCTAGGATGTGATGTTGTTATGTTTTATTCTATGCAGGCTTATTGAACAAATGGAGACTTATTCCTTGACCTTGGGCAACGAGTCAGTGGTGGAACCTAATATAGTAATACAGTCTGTTGATTTCTCTTCAGAAGGCGCTGTGGGCTCTATAGGTGTTCGCTTCACTGTGCAGAAAGGTGAGCTATTTCTTTCATGTGCTTATAATAGCAAAGAGCATTCTGTTACCAACTGTGAATAATGCTCTGTTCACGAAAATGTAGACTTTTAAATTCTACTTTTTTCCTTCTCATAGGAGCTAGTGATTCTCTCGTTTCTGGTTCCACATTGATAGATACGAACGTGGACAGCCTTGATCCAGATGGACAGACTGAACTTCAGATCTTGCTCAATACCTCGAGAAGTAGGTCTCAAACTTCAATACTCTAAAAAGTGCACTCAAATTCATGGAATTAATAACTAAAAATCCACTGAGCGAGAAATAATGTTTCCTTAGTGTCCACTGAGTAATTTGGGTTTGAGGCATTTGAGCTCTGATAGATTATCGTAATCTCAATTCTACTATTGTAGGTCATAGAGATGATTTTTTTTTTCTTTTCAAAAACCCTTTGGTGGATAGCAGAATTGAAACGCTCTGGCCATGGATACCAATCTGTTTTCTAACAAAAATCTAGCTAATGCAGTTCAGTTTTACACTTAAAAATACATTTAAAAAATATTCAGTCATTAGGGCCGGGCTGGTGGCTTAGTGGTTAAGTTCGCATGCTCTGCTTCCATGGCCCAGGATTCACAGGTTCAGATCCCGGACGTGGACCTACACACCGCTCATCAAGCCATGCTGTGGCAGCATCGCACATACAAAAAAGAGGACGATTGGCAACAGGTGTTAGCTCAGGGCCACTCTTCCTCACCAAAAAAAAATAATAATAATAATTCATTCACAAGCTCTGGCATATTTACTAGTGGCACGGCATGCACAGGCCTGGACTCATGCTATGATCTGTCCTTGAGATACTTTATGTAATTGGCACAGTCATTGTCTAGGAGGACCAATTTTCAGTTATCTCCACCAATATGGTGCCCACCGTGGGCTCCCTGTCATCTTGCATATGGCCCTTCAGAAATTCTTATTCTGACTTGAAATGTTTGTACTTTTCAAAGTTTAAAAAAAATTGACTGATTAATTTGACAATAACATTAAGCAAACCAAACATACACATTGAATTTTATTCTCTACTCAAATAAAAAAATCCAATGCCAGGAAGTACATATTTTAGAAAGACTAAATTCATAACTCCAATTTGTTATCAAATTCCAATTGGTTAACTAATTCTTTATTGATTATGTAAGTTGCAAATATCTTCCCTCCAGTCTATAGCTATCTTTTGCTTGTTTTTTTATGTCTTTTGTTATACTCAAATTTTAATTTATAATATGGTCCAATGTATCGATCTTTTCCACTATAATTGATACTTTTGAAAAGAAATCCTTCCCTATGCTAAAGTCACAATGATAGTCGCCTATATTTTCTTCTGAATGTTTTTAGTGTTTGTGTTTACATTCAGGTCTTCAGAGCACCTAGAAATTATGTTTGTGTTGGTGAAAGATAGGGATCTAATTTTTTATTCCATATAAACTATCAATATAATCAAATGGGTTAAAAAACACACTGTCTAGAGACAAAGACTCAAATTGGACTGAAAGGGACAAATTTTTATATTGATTTAAAAAAAGCTTCCAAAATTATCTATATTTTAATTCTTTGTTCCCCTAAAAAACCATCATTGAAATGTATAAGCAAAAATTATTGGAAATGCAGGGGTACATTGACCAAACCACTATTATAGGGAGAGATTTTAGCGCAACTATCCCAGAAATTGAAGATCAAGTAGACAAAAAATAACTAATAAACTTGACCTTTATATACATCTGTGTGTAATTTTGTTTGTAGACAGAAAACAGATAATAAAAATTCTTTTCGGATATTCATAGAGTGCTTCAAAAGCTGACCATTTATTAGGCCACATAGAAAAGCTTATACAGGGGCCTGGTCCCCTGGCTGAGTGGTTCAAGTTCTGTGTGCTCTGCTTTGGCAGCCTGGGCTCGAGGGTTTGGATCCTAGGCGTGGACCTACACCACTCATCAGCCGTGCCGTGGCAGTGATGCACATATGAAGTAGAGGAAGATGGGCACAGACGTTAGCTCAGGGCCAAACTGCCTCAGCAAAAAAAAAAAAAAAGAAAATGCTTATGAATTTGGTAAAATAAAAGTTACACAGGACAGAGTGCCTGACCACAATGCAATAAAACTAGGAATGTACCAGAAAAGCATAGCCAAAATTTTATCCAATTAGAAATTTTAAAACACCATTGTTAGAAAAGAAATTAAAGTGCAGGTTACAAGTTAATTGAAAAATAATGGCAATGAAAACACCACATATCAAAACCTATGGGATGGTTGCTATGAAGTATTTAAAGGAAAATGTATATCCTTTAATAAATTTATTAGAAAATAAAAGAAACAAAAAAATAAACTAAGCATTCAGCTAAAGAATCACAAAAATAAAATAAATGTAAAGAAAGCTAAGAGGGAGGAATTAATAAATATAAGGGTAGAAATTAATAAAAAATAGAAATTAATAAATCCTAGACTTGATCAACAAAATGAAAAATTGATTCTATGAAAAGACTTATGAAATATGCAATCTTCTGACAAATTTGATCAAGAAAAGAGAGAGAATATACATAAAGAAACATCAAGGAGGTATATCTAAAAATATGGAGATTTTAAAAAATTATAAGATAATGGTAAATATAATTTCTTCTAATGAATCTGAAAAATCTAGATTAAAGGATGATTTTCTAATAAATGACCAACGTACTGTAGGAATAAGGAGGGGGGTGAGCAGGGGCATTCATTTTTTTTAACCTATATACTTCTATGGATTTGAATTTTACATAAGCATGTCATTCTTTTATAAAAATAGGAAGAAAAACAAGCATTACTGCATTTTGAGGGTTAACTTTGTCACCTAGTGTCCTGGAGGAACAATTTGGCAAGGTCCATGTGCCATGGAAACCCCCAGAAACCAATGTCTATATTTCCAGGTGGAGGCTGGCCGTGGAGGACATCCTGGGAGCTGTCAGGGTCTTGCCTGCCTATCTTTCAAATCATGTGACTGAATAGGCGAGTCTCACTGCCATTATTTTAGTTTTCCTTATATCACTGGTAAAAGACAGCAGAGTTTAGGGAGTTAATTCAGTTAAAATGTATACTCATTGTTGTTGTCTCTGTTATTTTAAATATGGCCAATAGTTGTATAAAGAGTTAGGAGGCATTCCTCAGGGGGTTCTGTCTGACCACCGCCATGGCCAGCCTCACTGCCAAACTCTCCGCTGCGTCCATGCTCTTCTAGGGTCTCTGAGGAACAGCTGACCACTTTTCCCAATGTCCTGAAAAAAATGTGTTGCAATAGTCTTCTGGCCTTGGGAAAAGCCCATGGTTGTCACGAAGTAGCAGAAACCAATAGTTCAAGAGATGATGCAAAGTACCTGGCTCCGTTGAAAGAGTCCCTAATATGCTCCATATGAACTGTGACGTCATAGACTGGTCCCTGCTCAGTCCCTTTGAACAGCAGATAGACATCACAGAGCACTTGTCCAGGCACAGCTGTCCTGACAGTCACCCTTCGCTGTTTCTTGTCCAGCGTCTTAGCAGTGGGGGAAGCAACATGGGCGTGGGCTGCATGCACGGCGTGTTCACTCTGTCTCACCGCTAGAAAGCAGAATGCTTGCTTCATACACGAGATCCTTGCAGAACCTGCTTGAGGTGGATTAGACGGGAATTATTTAAAAGGTAGGGAATCTGAACCCATTTAAAAGGTAGGGAATCTGAACCTTAGGAAAAAAAATTAACGTGGGTAGAAAGCCAACCACCGATTATATATGTTAATTACATATTGCAATTAAGCAGAGGTTCAGCCAGCAAACCATTTTTACTGTATGTCCTTTACTCAGATAGTAAGCAGGTCAACAGTAACATGGGACTTCGTTTCTTCTTTACCCTGGAGTTCATGTACTGATTTTAGTGTCTTTATTTTCCTCACAGGTAACACCAGGTCATGTGGCTTTATAATGTATCAAAATAACAAGCTTTTCCAATCAAAAACTTTTACAACTAGATCAGATTTTAGTCAAAAAATTATCTCAAGCAAGATTGATGATAATGAGGAAGATAAGAGTGCTTCAGTTAAAATAGTCTTTAGTCCAAAGGTGAGTTTTCCCATTAACAGAAATAAAAATTTCAGCCCACTGTTGATTATAAAAGCAGTAACAGTTTTACAAAAAGACAGATAGTTTACAAAAAACAGTTTGGGCAAAAGAAATCCACAAAAAAACTCTTTGAAAGATTCTTTGAAAGTATTCATATAAATCTTACCCCCCCCCAAATTTTTTTTGCCAGACTAGCTAAACGCAAAATGAACTAATTTAATTTTATATCCCTTTTCCCCTTCCTAATCTATAATGAAGATGCTATGCTTAGGGCATACCTAATTGATTTCTCACATGCTTATCTTATCCTACTTGAGTTTTTCTACCCTCTTAAGCATTAAAAAAAATCAATTTCAATTGTCTCATCAATTTGCAGTACAACCAAGAAGAATTCCAACTCCATTCCTATGCCTGTGTCTATTGGAATTTTTTAATGAAGGATTGGGACACATATGGCTGTCACAAAGAGGAAAACATTGATGGATTCCTGGGCTGCCACTGCAACCATACTACGAATTTTGCTGTATTAATGGTAAGGATGTACATAGGAATCTCTTTCCAGACAAGAATTTTCCCTATACACAATTTGAGTATGTGCTAATTGGAGATAACTCTGGGGTATAGTTTACATAGATACTCACTCAGATTAAGTGGAAAAACAAGGAATGGGGTGATAGCACTAAAAAGGAAGTGCTGGTAAGGGCAAGTAGAGTGGAGTCCTTGCAGTGTGGTCTCAGGATAGCTGAGTCCAGCACCGTGTATGTAATAATGAGAAGGGAACTTGTGCGTAAAAAGAGCTGCTGACAGGCTCCATCCAACTAACTCGCATGTTCTGAAGCATGAAATTGTTATAGCCAGATGTAAGGCTGTCTAGCTGTGTGTTGGGGACAGGTTCAGTACATAATTAGCTATGGGTGGGCAGTGTAATCAGTTACCCAAAGCTTTTTCCATTGTAATCATCTAAGTTACTAAGTTTACGCTGGAAGATGTAAGAGGAAAAGTTTTTGAGTTCCTTCAAATTGTCTCATAGTTCCTCTGTGAATTCCTTAAATCTTTTACCCCCAAAGCTGCCCTGTACAAGTAACGGATAGATAATGCTTAGCTGTATATGCATCTTGGGAAGGTCTTGGGCTGACCTTTTTAAGAAGAGGAGCTTTGTTTGTTCCATTTTTAGAAAGCTATTATTCTGGTGAAACCAGAAATGTTAGTTTCTATACTTGATGGAAAGTTTTTATATGCAAGGGAATGGGGAGGGATATAGAGGGTCTTACTCTCATTAAGGGGCTATGAATGCACCTCCCAGAGAGAAGCAGATGTTCTCATTCTGCAGCCACTGTGATGTAGCCATATTTGGGAGGCCAATGCAGATCAGAACACACTGGTACAGCATTGAATACCAATTTATAGAACCTCGCCTTAAAACATTTTTTGAGATAACTATAGTTGTCATTTCAATTATCAAGTATTTCTCATTTTAATTGATTGTCATTATTTTCTAACTTGTATTACTAAGAGGTCTGCTTTCTCAATAAGGAAATAGTAAAGATGAAATTTTAATTTTTTGGAAATCTTATGATCATTATTATCATTGAATAGCTGTGTAAAGCTCAGATTGCTGTACATATTAAATGATACAGACCACATTGTCGTAGTTATTTTTCTCCTTTTTTGAGGTCAGGCTTTCAGCTATTTCTTCTCACTAATATCTGAATCTGCCTCAATGCCTACCTACTCACATTTGTAATTAGTTTTGAAAATTCAAAAAAAGGCTGGTTAGAGTTGTATGTACAGTAAGAGCAGACAGGCTCTGAGTGAATAGATGATTCTAAGATCTGAAGATCTATGTATTCTACAGTTCTTTGTCATTTGCTCAGCATATGGCACACAGGAAGTTGCATAAAATTTTTATTATTTTTAAAAATGAAGTTAATTTTATTTTTATTTTCTTCCTCCAAAAGCAATACATACTCACTGCATAAAGTCTGAAAATTTACCTACTAAAAAGAAATATACTGATACGGAAAATTTTGTGTGTGTGTGTGTGAGGAAGATCAGCCCTGAGCTAACATCTGTGCCAATCCTCCTCTTTTTGCTGAGGAAGACTGGCCCTGGGCTAACATCTGTGCACATCTTCCTCCACTTTATATGGGACACCGCCACAGCATGGCCTGACAAGCGGTGCATTGGTGCGCGCCCGGGATCTGAACCCAGGCCGCCAGCACTTAACTGCTACACCACGGGGCCCGGCCCGGAAAAATGTTTTTGATGTCTTAAACTAAAATAGCAATTCAAGAATAATTTTATTATGTTAACAAACCCCTAAGTATTTGTGCAATTGACCTAGATAATATTTGTAAGCAGTTACAAAAAAGGTTGCCTCTGGAGAAGAGATAGGATTTCAAAAGGTAGGGTATGATGTGGGGGAGCTGGCAGTAAAGAGAAAGATATACTGTTTTATTATGTTTCATATTAGTTTCATGTTTTATAAATAAGCAAAAATGGCTTTTCTAATTTTAACAATTTAAAACATTGGAAAGTACAGACAAGCAAAAAGAATCAAATATATCCTACTCACCCGGTGACCACCATTATTACCTCTCCGGATTTATAAGAGTACATACACACACGGAATATACTTTTCTATGAATATATATTAAAATACTGGGATAGATATAGATATATTACAGAAAAATTAGATCTCTTTTAAAAAAAATTAGGAGGATCATATGAACATCTTTCCAAGTCCATAAAAATATTTCTGCAACTGTATTTTTAGTTTATCAACTTAGATCTGCAGATTTCCCCTTGGATTATAGTTACATATAAAAATAATGTAATGGATAAATGAAGCAACTCTAGCCGATTGAGATCTAATCCAAACAACTTTGATTTTAGACACTGAGGAGCGGTGTATGTTTCCCCTACCTGAATGAGTCAGGTAACTGTTCTCAAGCCTCTCTTTCATGTAAACTGCTTAGAGATAAGGTGTTAATTTATTTCCTTTTAAAATATATCGACAGCTTTATAAAAATAAGACATATCTGGCTATTTTCACCAATATATCTGGTTATTTTGACCGATGTATCTCTTCATGATGTTGACTTTGACAGACATTTCAGGAATGACTATTTAAAAATATGCATCTTAACTTATTTTCCAGAGTTTCAGAAAAGATTATAAATATCCTGAATCACTGAATGTATCATCCAATGTTGGATGTGCGCTGTCCATTACTGGTCTGGTTCTCACGATCATATTTCAGATTGTCACCAGGTAAGGAGGGAAGCAGGCTCTTCTCATGAGAGAAATTGCTACCCCGATATTATTTCCTCTGAGCATACTCTCGTCTCTTAGAACTAGAAGGGGAATCAGATTGAGTTCAACAGGGTCATTGTACAGAAGAGGACACGCAGTTCTGGAAAGGCTAAGAATTACACACAAATAAACGTGTAATTACAAATCATGGTCAGTGCCTTGAAGGAAGATTACATACCATGTAATTGCAAGTTTGTTATATAAAATTAATTTGGTCTCGTAGCTCCTTAGTGCCACAGTTCCTTAGTGTTGAACAGAACCATACCTACCAATCTACATTTGTAAAAAAAAAAGGCAACATTGCTTTGAAAATAAAAGTACTTTACAAAATATATTAAGTTTTCAAATGGTGAAACTTTTTAACCATTTTGAATTCCATAGTTTTTTTTTTAAACCTAATTTTTAAAAATTACCTATAAACACGTATTTCTCTCCACCTCGACCCTCTCACTCAAGGTGCAATTTTGTGTAGCATTTGTTATTTTTTGTCACATGCTATATCTGTAACAATCTGTAACTGTAAGCTTGTTCATCTATTAATTTGTCTACTCTCTGTCGTCCCCATCAGCGTGAAAATTGATGACGATGGTGACTTCCTCTGATTGAGTTGTTGCTGTTGTTGTCTGTTTGGTTTGTCTTTCATCACTGTAGCTCCAGGGCTGAGCACAGTTCCGGCCCACGGTAGAGAAACATCCATGGAATAAATGGGTCTATTGCACATGCCTACCTGCTTCTCTTCTCAAACTCAAGATGTCTCAAGATGAACTCATCTTTCCTTCAGAATTATTTCTCCCTTCTAAGTTCCTCCACAACTATTTTCTCAGATGTGTAGATTCAGAATTTTTTATTTTAAAGTTATTGGTATTTAAAAATTTTTTCTAAAGTTTTATTAAAAAAAATTAAAACCTATAGAAAAGTTGAAAGAGAACACTGAACATCCAAATACCTTTCACCTAGATTCAGCAATTATTAATATTTTGCTTTATCTCTTTTTAGATTTTTTTTCTGAAATTTTGAAAGTAAGTTGTAGGCATCATGACTGTCATCTCTCAATTCCTCAGGCATATGTCTCTAAGAACAAGGGGCATTCTCCCCCATAATATAATACTATTATCCTCACTCAGGAAATTTAACTCAAGAAATTTAACATTGATATAAGGTTATAGTGTTGATATACAATTCACATTCACGTTTCTCAAATTGTTCCAATAATGTCCATTATAGCTGTTTTTTTTTCCCCCTCAATTCATTTACTCATCATGTCGCTTCAGTCTCCTTTAGCCTAGAATAATTCCTCTGCTTTTTTTGTGTGTTTGTTTTGGTCTTTGATGACATTAAAATATTTGAAATGTTCAGGTCAGTTATTTTATAGAAGGTAGAATATTCTCCAACTGAGGATTTGTCTGAAATTTTCCTCGTGATTAAATACAGGTTGAATATTTTTCATGAGAACACTACATCATCAAGTCTTTTTCAGTGGCACACAGAAAGAAGTGCATGAGGTCGATTTGTCCCATTATTGGTGTGTTAAGTGTGATTCCTTGTTTAAATTGATGTCCACCAGGTTTCTACACTGTGAAGGTTCATTTTTTCCCTTTGTAAGTGAAAGGTAATCCCTGGGGTGATATTTTGAGACTGTGTGAGTATCCTGTTCCCCAACTTTTACTCAATGGTTTTGGTATTCACAGATGATCATTACTGGAACGTATTATTACACTGGTGGTTGAGAATGATTTTCTAATCGATCCTTCTTTCCCTATTTGGTCACTGCATTCCTTTGTAAAGAAGTGTACTCTCCACTGTAGCCAGAGGGAGTCCCTTCATCCTACCTTGTCATATCCCTATCAGTCTTGAAGCACTTCCTTATTTCAGGCTCAGCACGATGATCCAGGCACATCTTTCACTTTCTCTGCCCCATGCTTAGAATCAGCCATTTGTCCAAAGAGCCAGAATTCTTTTTGATTCCTCTTCTTTCCCTTTCACACATAATGAGCCTCTAACCATTCATTTAAAGTTTGTATACTGAGTGCTGGTAGGTGCCAAGTGCCATGTGAGGAGCTAAATATAAACCTACGGACAGGACAGATAAGCTCCCATCTCTCACGGCATTTACATTCTCAGGGGGAAGACAGATACTATATAAATATACACAATTGTGGGAAGTGCCTTGAAGGAAAGTTAGGTGACATATAATTACAAGTCTGTCATGTGAAATGACATGGCTCCTTGTTTGTCCTTTCATTTGTATTTCTACCATCACCACACTTGAACAGACAATTATTGGTCCCGTGTGAATAAGATGCGGTAGCTGCATAACTGGTTTCTTTGCCTAAAATCTCCCTCCTTCCAATTGTCATCAGATTTCTTTTTTTGCATTCTCTATCAACATGTTACTTAGCACAGTTTTGCTGCCATAGATGTCACTAAAAGCTCACCAGGAAACAAAAACAAAAATAAAAATGAAATTGTATTGATTTTTAAACCCTGAATCAAATTGTTTTCTTTGTTCATGGGACGGTTCCCATATAATAAT